CCTATGTTCTCCTCTAGGATTTTGATGGATTCCTGTCTTGCATTGAGGTCTTTCATCCATTTTGAGTTTCTCTTTGTGTATGGCATTAGAGAATTGTTGAGTTTCATTCTTCTGTATATAGCTGCCCAGTTTTCCCAGCACCATTTATTGAAGAGACTGTCTTTGTTCCACTGCCTATTTTTTCCTCCTTTGTTGAAGATTATTTGACCATAGAATTGAGGGTCCATATCTGGGCTCTCTACTCTGTTCCACTGGTCTATATGTCTGTTTTTGTGTCAGTACCATGCTGTCTTTGGTGATCACTGCTTTGTAATATAGCTTGAAATCAGGCAACGTGAATGCCCCCAGCTTTGTTTTTCTTTTTCAACATTTCCTTGGCGATTTGGGGTCTTTTCTGATTCCATACAAATTTTAGGATTGTTTGTTCCAGCACTTTGAAAAATGTCATTGGAATTTTGATTCGGATGGCATTGAAGGTATAGATTGCTCTAGGTAGCATAGACATTTTAACAATGTTTATTCTTCCGATCCATGAGCATGGAATGTTTTTCCATCTTTTTGCGTCTTCTTCAATTTCTTTCATGAGTGTTCTGTAGTTCCTAGAGTATAGATCCTTTACCTCTTTGGTTAGGTTTATTCCAAGTTATCTTATGGTTTTTGGTGCTACTGTAAATGGAATCGTTTCTCTAATTTCTCTTTCTACAGGTGCATTGTTAGTGTATAAGAAAGCAACTGATTTCTGTGCGTTGATTTTGTATCCTGCCACATTACTGAATTGCTGTATGAGTTCTAGTCATTTGGGGGTGGAGTCTTTTGGATATTCCACATAAAGTATCATGTCATCTGCGAAGAGAGTTTGACTTCTTCTTTGCCAATTTGAATACCTTTATTTCTTTTTGTTGTCTGATTGCTGTTGCTAGGACTTCTAGTACTATGTTGAACAACAGTGGCAAGAGTGGGCATCCTTGTCGTGTTCCTGATCTTAAAGGAAAGGCTCTCAGCTTTTCCCCATTGAGGATGATATTCGCTGTGGGTTTTTCATAGATGGATTTTATGAACTTGAGGAATGTTCCCTCTATCCCTATACTCTGAAGAGTTTTAATCAGGAAAGGATGCTGTATTTTGTCAGATGCTTTTTCTGCATCAATTGAGATGACCATATCGTTCTTCTCTCTCCTCTTATTAATGTGTTCTGTCACACTGATTGATTTGCGAATGTTGAACCACCCTTGCATCCCTGGGATAAATCCCACTTGGTTGTGGTGGATGATCCTTTAAATGTATTGCTGGGTCCTATTAGCTAGGATTTTGTTGAGAATTTTGGAATCCATATTCTTCAGGGCTATCAGTCTGAAATTCTCCTTTTTGATGGAGTCTTTGTGTGGTTTGGGAATTAAGGTAATGCTGGCCTCATAGAATGAGTCTGGAAGCTTTCCTTCTGTTTCTATTTTTTGAAACAGCTTCAGGGGGTAGGTATTATTTCTTCTTTGAATATTTGGTAGAATTCCCCAGGGAATCCATCAGGCCCTGGACTCTTGTTTTTTGGGTGATTTTTGATCACTGCTTCAATCTCGTTACTGGTTATTGGCTTATTCAGGCTGTCAGTTTCTTCCTGTTTCAGTCTTGGGACTTTATAGGTTTCCAGGAAGGCATCCATTTCTTCCAGAATCCTCAATTTATGGGCATATAGTTGTTGATAATAATTTCTAATAGTTGTTTCTATTTCCTTGGTGTTAGTTGTGATCTCTCCCCCTTCATTCATAATTTTATTAATTTGGGTCCTTTCTCTTTTCTTTTGGATAAGTCTGGCCAATAGTTTATCAATCTTATTAATTCTTTCAAAGAACCAGCTTCTAGTTTCGTTGATCTGATCTACTGTGTTTCTGGTTTCTAATTCATTGATCTCTGTTCTGATCTTAATTTTGTCTCTTCTAAAGTGTGGCTTAGGCATTGTTTGTTGCTTTTTCTCTAGTTCTTTAAGGTGTAGAGTTAGTTGGTTAATTTGGGATTTTTCTATTTTTTTGAGTGAGGCTTGGATGGCTATGTATTTTCCCCTTAGGACCACCTTTGCAGTATCCCATAGGTTTTGGACCGATGTGTTTTTGTTCTCATTGATTTCCATGAATTGTTTAAGTTCTTCTTTGATTTCCTGGTTGACCCAAACATTCTTGAGCAGAGTGGTCTTTAGTTTCCAAATGTTTTAATTTCTTCCAAATTTTTTCTTGTGATTGAGTTCCAGTTTTAAAAGATTATGGCCTGAGAATATGTAGGGAATAATCTCAATCTTTTGGTATCGGTTGAGACCTGATTTGTGACCCAGTATGTGATCTATTCTGGAGCAAGTTCCATGTGCACTCGAGAAGAATGAGTATTCTCTTGTTTTAGGGTGGAATGTTTGTATTCCAGGGACCAGATCCATCTGGTCCAGGGTGTCATTCAAAGCTCATGTTTCTTGTTGATTTTCTGCTTAGATGATCTGTCTATTGCTGAGGGTGGAGTATTGAGGTCTCCTACAATTAACGTATTGTTATCAATATGACTCTTAATTTCGGTTAACAGTTGGCTTATGTAGATGGCCGCTCCCATGTTGGTGGCATAGATATTTATAATTGTTAGATCTTGTTGGGTAGACCCTTTAAGAATGATATAGTGTCTTTCTGTGTCTTTAACTACAGTCTTTAGCTTAAAATCTAATTTGTCTGATATAAGAATTGCTAGCCCAGCATTCTTTTGAGGTCCGTTGGCCTGGAAGATGGAACTCCATCCCTTCATTTTCAGTCTAGATGTATCCTTAGGTTCAAAATGAGTCTCTTGTAGACAGCATATGGATGGGTCCTGTCTTTTTATCCATTTGGCAACCCTGTGCCATTTTGTGGGAGCATTTAGGCTGTTCACGTTGAGAGTGATTATTAAAAGATATGAATTTATTGTCGTCATGTTGCCTGTGAAGACCCTGTTTTTATAGATTGTCTCTGTAAATTTCTGTATATCACTCTTGGGGTCTTTCTCCTTTTATAGAACCCCCCGTAATATTTCTTGCAGGGCCAGCTTAGTGGTCACATATTCTTTCAATTTCTGCCAGTCTTGGAAGCTCTGCATCTCTCCATCCGTTCTAAATGACAGCCTTGCTGGATAAAGTATTCTTGGCTGCATGTTCTTCTCATTTAGTACCCTGAATATGTCTTGCCAGCCCTTTCTGGCTTGCCAGGTCTCTGTGAATAGGTCTGACGTTATTCTGATGTTCCTCCCTCTATATGTAAGGAATCTCTTCCCCCTAACTGCCCTTAAGATGGTTTACTTGGTCTAAGATTTGAGAGTTTTACTATTATGTACCGGGGCATTGGCCTGTTTTCCCCTTGATCCTAGAGGTCCTCTCGGCCTCTAGGACATGAATGTTTGTTTAATTCCCCCTATTAGGGAAGTTCTCATCTACTATTTGCTCAAATATATATTCTACTCCTCTCTCTCCTCCCCCTCAGGGATTCCAATAATTCTGACATTGGAACGTTTCATGGTGGGTCACTTATTTCTCTGATTCTATTTTCATGGATTTTGAGTTGTTTTTCCCTGGCTTCCTCTTTTTCCTTCTTGTATATTAATTGGTCTTCTAGATCACTAATTCATTCTTCTGCCTCATTTACCCTAGCTGTTAGATTATCTAGATTAGATTGGATCTCATTGACAGCATTTTTAAATTCTGCCAATTCAGCTTTCATTTCTGCCCTTAGAGACTCTATGTTGCCATTAATCGATTTCTGCATTCTAGCTATTATCTTCACAATTGCTACCCTAATTCCATCTCTGACATCTTGGTTATATCTGTATCCATTTGTAAATCTTTGGCAGAAATAGTCACAGTCTCTGAGTCTTTCCTATTTTGGGGGTTCCTCCTCCTGGTCATTTTGTTGAGGGGTGGTTGACGGAATGTACAGAGTTCAAATTATTGACCACAACCCAAGGAAGATGCACCTGTTTTATAGGGACCTTAGGGTTGCTGGCCTCCTGTTCTCCCAGCCTGTCTTCTGGGGGAGGGGCTTGCCGTGCTGTTAGGCAACGCTGTTTGGACAGAGTTACCCTGCCCCCTGTGGTGGGGGATGGGCTCAGTGAAAACTGGTTTTTTGGGGCTTTTGTTCTCTGGTGGCTTTCCCTGGAGGCTTTCTGCGTCTCTTCCGAGAGTCAGGGCAAAAGAGATCGTTTCCAACCCTCTGCCTCAGAGCGGAGAGATCGCAATCTGTTCTTCAGTTAGCTCTCCAGGCCACACTATCTCCATTCCTGTCTGTGCTGCTATAAACTGCAGCGTCCTGGGTTGTGCGCCCCTCAGCAGCTCTCCCAGTTCTCGCCTCCAGGTCGGGACGCCTCTCTCCCCTTTGTGCTTCTAAAACCACCAGCTACCTCCAGTTCATATGTGCAGCCCGCTGCTCTTAGTTTCAGTCTGGGGGGCTGCCCTAAAGTCTTTTCCCCTTCGCTACCAGTCTGCAAGTCTGTGCCCAGTCCCCAGCGCAGGAGGCTATCACTCACTGGCAGTGCAGGATTCTGAAGGCTTGGCTCCCTCCCCATTCCCTTTATCCTCTGATATCTACCCGCGGAATCCTGGCTCCCACTTCATACCTCAAAACCAACTGCCTGCGATATTTTGTTTGTAGAGATCCAGATCTGTCTTCTTACATCTCAGGCTGATTTCATGGGTGTTCAGAGTGGTAGTTGTAGATATCCAGCTCAATTCCGGGACTGGTTGGAATAGGGTCCCCTATTCCTCTGCCCAGAAATTAAATATTTTAACAACAGCTTAAGAGCTGTATGATCTACAGAAAGGCATTTAACTCTTCACCTGTTTGCTCATCTGTGAAACAAACAATCATATGAAGGCCTAGTATGGTACCTGGTATTTAGTAGTTATTCAGTAAGTGTCAGTTTTTATCTTCCTCAAAAGGCTACTGGACATGACATCTTCTTCAGTCCCTATTTTATTAGCATTAACTTAAGTTCTTTTATTTGGACAGGCACTGCTCACATGATAGAGGCCGATGTCCTTCTTCCAAGTGATGGATCGGAATATAGCCAACCGATCATGGCCCACCCTCCTGAAACAAATAGTGATAATACTTTACAGGAATGGCTGACTGCAGTTATAAAAAGCAATAAAGGCATCAAGCTGGATTTCAAGAGGTATTTGTATAAACATTTTCAGTCTTTTAGCTGTTAGAGAGTAACAATGAAATTAAAAGATTAATAGCTTCATATATCTGTGCTTGACTAACTAACTTTATATTTTAAACTGAAAATGGAATTGCAAACTAATATGTTTCAAGAAGGGACCTAAGACCTATTGAGTTGGTCACTTAAATTGTTTCTTAGGAACCCTTTGAGGCTAAAATTAAGTTCATTTTTGCAAAGGAATTTATCATAAGTGACCATTGTGATAATAGAATGGTAAATTTAAAATGCTACTTTCATTAAAGTAGTCTGAGGGGAGGGGTGCCTGGGTCACTCAGTGGTTAAGCGTCTGCCTTCAGCTCAGGTCATGATCCCAGGGTCCTGGGATTGAGGCCCACCTCGGGCTCCCTGCTCCACGGGAGGCCTGCTTCTTCCTCTCCCCACTCCCCCTGCTCGTGTTCCCGTTCTCGCTATGTCTCTCTGTGTCAAATAAATAAATAAATAAAATCTTAAAAAAAAAAAAAGGTAGTCTGAGGGGAACCTGGGTGGCTCAGTCATTTAAGCATCAGACCCTTGATTTTGGCTCAGATCATGATCTCAGGGTTGTGAGTCAAGTCCCGAGTGCAAAGTGTGCAAAGTGCTGGGTATGGAGCCTGTCTAAGATTCTCTTCTCCCTCTGCCTAACCCCCACTCCCCCTCTTAAAAAAAAAAATAGTCTGAGAGAGAGAGTTCGTAGTAGTTTGGGTAGTTAATGCATATCCTACTTGATTTATGTTATATTTGTATATGGAGAATTATCTAGAAGTCTTTCAATAACCCAAGAGTTCTTTATAAATAATATTTGGAAGCATTGACAATGAAGAGCAAGATTAAGTGTTATTTCCTTTTCTCTGGCTGTCATGGAAAATTTTACTTTTGTGGTATTTTGGCAGTGTAAAAATGATAGATAAAGCCAGGAATATAGTGTGATATCACAAAAGCTCACCATAAGTCCCATGAAGGTGACTGCTATGAAAATCTAGGATTTTGGGCACCTGGGTGGCTCAGTGGGTTAAGCATCTGCCTTTGGCTCAGGTCATAATCCTAGGGTCCTGGGATCAAGCCCCACATCGGGCTCCCTGCTCAGTGGTGAGTCTGCTTCTCCCTGTCACTCTGCCTCTCCTCCCAGCTTGTGCTCTCTCTTGCTCACTCTCTCTCTTTCAAATAAATAAAATCTAAAAGAAAAGAAAAGAAAAAATCTAGGATTTGTGGTAAACCTACCTTATCTATGAACAATATTTTTAAATAGAATATTCTCAAGAAATTAATAAGATTTGGAATTCTTACTTACAGAATTATTAAGGTGACTCTGTTTGTTGTAGGGCTAAATATACCAGTCAACCTCATTACACTCTTGGTGAATGAGAGACCTTTTTTTTTTAAGATTTTATTTATTTATTTGAGAGAGTGAGTGAGAGAGAGCACAAGCCAGGAGGAAAGGAGAGGGAGAACCAGACTCCCTGCTGAGCAGGGAGCCCCTATACGTGGCTCAATGCCAGGACCCTGGGATCACAACCTGAGCCACGCAGGCGCCCCCCCCCCCCCCCCCCCCCCCCCCCCCCCCGAGAGAACTATTTTAAGATCTTAAAGCTCTTAGAGTGTCGAATGGTCCAACTCTATTTTATTGACAAAGAGACTTAGTCCCAGAGAAGTTAAATAATTGACCCAAGAACAATAGCTGAACTTGACAGCTGAGCTAGGCCGAGATCCCAGGTTTCCTGGAGCTAGTTCAGTTTTCTCTGTACCGTGAAATAAAACATTTGATCTTTAATATTTGGTAACTCAGAGTTTTAGCTATCCTTGCCTTTTCATGTGTATGTTTACTATTGCCCATTGAATTGTTCTCTCTGATACATTCTTTGGCTCCTCACTAGTCAGATCAACTCATTCATTCCTAGCAGCTACCACACACACATGAGCTGAGCCACTAAGAAAAGGATTTTGCAAAGTTTTTGGTCATAACATATTTGAAGGGGAATGAATTTAACTAAAAGTTATATGGACATGTATACTGTGTCAGATGCTTTTCTAAGAGCACTGAATGCGTTAATTCATTTAATCCTCATAACAATCCTGGGAGGCAGCTTATTGCTTTCATCCTCACTTCCAGATAAAGGAAACAGAGGAAGTAGACTGCTTGTTGTCACATAGTTGGTAGGAAATCTACCAGCCTGGCTGGAGAGTTCTCACTGTGAACCAGAACTCTGTACTACCTCTGTAACAGGAGCCGATGGACCTATTACTCAAATTTTACTAGTTCTTATTTTATGCCTCTAAGTTATTTTGTTTGGCATACAAATAATAACTAAGTACTAAAATTTTTTCTGGAACATGGTATGTTATTCTTTGAAGTATACATTATATGTTGCTGTTGGGCAAAATATATCCTCAGTCTTTTTTTTTCCCCCAAAATGATATGGCTTTTCCTCAACATTTACTCTTCAAGAAGAATTTTATCATTGTTTTGTCAACTTTCTGTTCCAGAAATATAAAAACTACAACACAAAAAGTTTTATTTTCTTTAGTAAAGTTTTAGGTTTCTCTTAATATAGGTTTCGTTTTCTTATTTAAGTTATTGGTAAGGGAAAGTAGCATTAACATAGTCTATATTAGCAATAATTAAATTATTTACATATAAAAATAGAATACATGTATTAAATTCTTTTTCATTATGTTCTGTGTCATAACTCCTTAGGTTTAACTGCACGGTGCTTTACACATAGTAGACATTTCATATACGCTGGTGTAATTTCAATTTTGGGGAGAAAATGCTGTCTGCTGATGTTAACCAATAGTAAACCATTATTGAACAGCCCCATATATATCACCTTACTAAATTGAGAAAGCCTAAGAATCTCCCCCCCGAATGTAAACTGGAAATTAGTGTTTAACCCAACCTCCACAGACACCAAATTTCTTAAGAAATCAAAATTCTTTCTGGAAAAAGAGATGTTGGTGGCAGACATGCGTGGATTAGTTCAGGTTTTCCTCCTCTTCCATCCATGAAGAGCAGAACCCCACAGGAACTTGGCTGCTGCTGCAGGACTTGCAGACAAGCAAGGAGTCACAGATATAAGTTGCTTTCTACCAAAAATGGGGGTGCCAGATCTTAGAATTGTGGTTTTAACATGGCACTGATTTTGATCAAGGCAGAAAGCGTTTGAGACAGAGAAGTGACAGCATCTGAATTAAATTCTGCAAGGTCCAGCATTAGAGTTTAGTAATCCACTAACATCTAGGGCCTCCATTTCAGAGGGAGAAGAATGAACAAAAAGAAGCTCACTACATGGGAGCAGAGTGACAGGCTGGAGGCTGGCTTCCTCTGGTTTTAATGAGCAGTATCCTTGCTCACTAATAAATATGACCTAATAAATAATGAGGTTATCAGTTTCTCTTCTTAGAGTAGGAGGCCTGAAAGGAGTGAGTTGAAGAGTGTGGAAACCTAGGCAGGAGGACTCAATCCGTTAAGAAAGATGGAAATGTAAGGAGAGGGTACTGAATGTTCTTCCCTCCAACAGCCGTCTCCCCAAATTTTAGCCTCCCACTGTAGTAGTCATTAAAAGCTAATTTTCTCACAAACTTAGACCTCAAAGGTTTAGAAGAGATTCAGAATTATAAGTGGTGTACTAGTCCAGTAAAGTTTGTGTATTTATTTTAAAAAGTAAAATTTATGGGGGCACCTGAGTGACTCAGTTGGTTAAGTGTCCAACTCTTGATTTTGTCTCAGGTCATGATCTCACGGTCCTAGGATGGAGCCCTGTGTTGGGCACTGCTCTCAGCAGGGAGTCTGCTTGAGGATTCTCTCTCTTCCTCTCCCTCTGCCCTTCCCCCTGCTCCTCCCCAAAATAAATAAATAAATAAATCTTAAAAAATAAGTAAAATTTATGTAGGCTGATTAAAACCTTACTGTTTCAAAATCTATAGATGTCAGTTAGAATAGATGTAGAGAAAAGAGTAAAACTGCTTTTTTATTTAAATAGTAACTAAAGGGGTACCTGGGTGGCTCAGTTGGTTGAGTGACTGCTTTTGGCTTGGGTTGTGATCCCCGGGATCAGGCCCTACATCGGTCACCCTGCTCACTGGGGAGTTTGCTTCTCCCTCTCCCTCTGCCTGCCACTCCCCTTGCTTGTGCTCGCTTGCTCTCTCTCTGTCAAATGAATAAATAAAATCTTAAAAAAAAAATAGGGTGCCTGGGTGGCTTAGTCGTTAAGCGTCTGCCTTAGGCTCAAGTCGTGATCCCAGGGTCCTGGGATCGAGCCCCGCATCGGGCTCCCTGCTCAGCGGGGAGCCTGCTTCTCCCTCTCACATTCCCCCTGCTTGTATTCCCTCTCTCGACGCTGTCCCTCTCTCTCTCTCTGTCAAATAAATAAATAAAATCTTTATAAATAAATAAATAGTAACTAAAATATAGTTGTCTCTAGTTTCCAGAAAAGATGTTTATGAAATGTATAAAAGCTTTAAGAGGATGTTATAATTTTATACTTTGCGATCAGTTTTAGAAACATATTTATGCATCCAAACTTAAAAGAATACATGAAGGAAAAGAGGCTCTTTTCTCTAGGGTTATGAGTCAGTATTAGAGACACAGTGCCTGGGTATACTGTAGGTATTTTCATAAATGTGAATTTTCAGGTTATGAGTATATCTAATTTTTAAGTCTTATTTATACATTCTCTAATGAGTGAATATTTATGTCTTTTCTTAAGTTATTTTATACTGAGTGTTCCTAATACAGAGTTTTGAAACTTCAGCCTGTCTACAAGTAGTGGCATTATTCATGTATTTATAGAACCTTTAAGGTATCCTCATAATAATAAGTATAAATCAACATTTTGAGATATAGCATATGTTAACTTTCTCCTCTGGTGCTATACGATCTTTGATTTTATTTAATTCAGGCATTATCCTACTACACTTTTGTTAGGAAGTTGAAAACATTGAAACCACTAGTCTGAAAGAACTTTTTACTTTTACTTTAGGAATACGTCTCATTGACAACAACTATGTTTTTAGTCTGGCAGCTGTAGAACCATCCATGATGCTCCTGGAGAATGTGAAGAGGCATCTGAAACGTCCTGTGTGGATTAATGCTGATATTCTTCCGGGTCCAAATGGAAATAGCAGGGTAGTGGATGCAAAACCTTTTATAGACATGGTAACATCCTTCTTTCCTAATGTGACCTTTTCTTTGGGTTGGACAACAGGATGGCATCCTGAGAAAGTCAATGAAGGTAATGATTTTTAAAATGTATTTCTTATTGGTCAAATTAAAATCCACTCGAAATATAAAAATAACAGGTTTAAGTACAAAACCAAAAACTTATTCCACAATTTAAGAGCCTAATGGATATAAAGGTCTAGCCCTAAAGGCATCTGTATGACTCTTTCGTTTATTTCACATAGACTGCATTTGTTTGTGACACTGTGTCACCAAGCTTGGATGGGAAATTTGCATGGTCTACATTAACCAAAGCTGCCTCTACAAACTTTAAACAAATCCTGAGTTGGTCTCTCTGAACTTGCAAAACATTCTATACTTTTTTTTTCTTTTTACCTTGGAGCAAACTTCCGATGTCGGAAGAAAGATAAAGAAGTAGTAACAAAAACTTCCCCAGTGATGTGAGGACAGAAGTTAGGAGTGTGTTGTTGAAGAGCACAAGTTATACTCCATGGACACTGAAAGGGGCTCCACCAGTGGACTGCTAGTTTCCTTTCTTTGGCTGGACAGGGGAGTGGGAGGCCATGAGACTCTCCTCTAGGCTGGCTCCCTTCTTTCCTTTCACCTGTTCACTTCAGGATCGACTTGACATTCAGCTTTTTCCTCGTTGAAACTGATTATGCTATTTGGGTTCATCTTTTTATTTCTTCATATATCCCTAGGCAGTGATTTACAGGTAAACAGCTCGTAGCAATCAAATGCTCTGGAGCACCTGTCCACATGGTAAAAATAAACTAAGAAGGTATTTAGAGCCTATGGAGATGTTAGTCTTTATCCTGTGTTCAGGGAATTCATCTTTTACTTATTTTCAATAATTGGGTTTTTTTAAAAGATTTTATTTATTTATTTGAGAGAGAGAGCATAAGCAGGCAGAGCGGCAGAGGGAGAAGCAGGCTCCCTGCTGAGCAAGGAGCCCAACATGGGGCTCTGGGATCATGACCTGAGCTGAAGGCAGAGGCCCAACTGACTGAGCCACCCAGGCACCCCTGTAATTATTGTTTTTAGATGTTAACTTTTTAGTCCAACATAAGATTAGAGTAACTGCTATCTAGTGAGTAGTGACATTTAGGTTCTAACCCTCTGGGCCACCAATTGATGTGATTGAGACAAAGAATAATATGCTTTACCATAATTCTAATTTTTTAATCATTTTAATTTTTATTAGTTTCATTAAAGAATATTGCTTATACTTCAAAGTATTTAAATAAGGTAAACTAGAAATAGTTTAGTAACTTCCTTACTGATTCTAAACTGCTTTTGTCACTGTTTAGTATAATTCTGGCTTAACCTCAAGCTTTAACTGAATTAGACTGTATCTGGACTTTGAAGTCATTTTGGTGTTGAATGTGTCCAGGCTGCTTTTTTCCCATTGCCCTCTTGTCATTACCAACATGTGCTTTATGCTTCATTACTTCTTATGTCACAGATTTTTGGGGGAGCTGTGCATGTGAGTGGGGGGAGGGGCAGAGGGAGAGGGAGAGAGAGAATCCCAAGGAGACTCCATGCTGAGCTCTGAGCCAGATCTCACAACCTCGAGATTGCACCCCAAGTGGAAATCAAGAGTCAGATGCCCAACTGACTGAGCCACCCAGGCACCCCTTATTTCACAGATTTAGAAAAGAGTTTATAAGTTTATAGTCATGTAAATACAGCTTCTGTTAGCAATCCCTTTTTCTAATTACAAAGATACAGTTTTTCAGATTTTCAAGGAAAGCAGAACATTGCCCTTCTTTCATGAGGAATTCAGCTGCTAAACTAACATATCCACATAGGCTTTCTATAAAATATTCCTTTATTATTTTTTTAAAGATTTTATTTATTTATTCATGAGCGACAGAGAGAGGCAGAGGCAGAGAGAGAAGCAGGCTTCCCGCGGGAGCAGGGAGCCTGATGCGGGCCTCCATCCCAGGTCCCTGGGATCATGACCTGAGCCGAAAGCAGACGCTTAATGTCTGAGCCACACAGGCACCCTCTTTTTTTTTTTTTAAGATTTTATTTATTTATTCATGAGAGACAGAGAGACAGAGAGAGAAAGGCAGAGGAAGAAGCAGGTAAAATATTCCTTTATTTACCAATATTTTTTACAGCCTGTTTTTGATAGAGGCTGTTATTTATTTATTTATTTATTTATTTATTCTGCAGGGGAGGGGCAGAGGGAGAGGGAGAGAGAGTCTCAAGCAGACTCCACGCTGAGTGTGGAGCCCAACGTGGGGCTCAGTCTACAACCCTGAGATCACCACCTGAGCAGAAACCAAGAATCGGGCACTTTAACCCACTGTATCACCCAGGTGCCCCATAGAGGCTGTTATTTTGAAAATATAATTTTTTTCTTTCTTTTTTTTTAGAGACAGAGAGACAAAGCGGGGAGAGGCAGAGGAGAGGAAGAGAAAGAATCCCTAGCAGGCTCCACACCCAGTGCAGAACCTGATGAGGGGCTCAGTCTCACAGCCCTGAGATCATGACCAGAGCTGAAATCAGGAGTTGGTTGCTCAACCGACTGAGCCACCCAGGTGCCCCCAAAAATATAAAGTTTTTTCCCAAAGCCTTTATAAACAGGCAAGTGTGTTTTCCACAGTCTCTTAACATGATTTAAAACCCATATATAAAAGTCATTTTGGGGATGCCTGGGTGGCTCAGTCAGTTAAGCATCCAACTCTTGATTTTGGCTCAAGTCATCATCTCAAGGACATGGGATCAAATCCCATGTCAGGCTCCATGCTAAAAGCATGGTCTGCTTGGGATTCTCTCTCTCTCCCTCTCCCTCTGACCCTCCCCCCACTCGCACACATGCTCTCTCTCTAAATAAATAAATAAAATCATTAAAAAAGCAGGACATTTTTCTACTATTTCTACTCTAGTCCAGATAGTTTGGACTAGCCAAAAAATAATCATGAAGATAATTATTTCTTAAACATCTACTACCTAGCAGGCATCTTTCTGTTGGAAAAGAATACTTAAGTAACACAATGGGAAATCTAAGTTTATTTATTTACCTTTTTAAAAAGATTTTATTTATTTATTTGAGAGAGAGAGAGCAAGCATGAGCAGGGGAAGGGGCAGAGAGACAAGCAGACTCCCCACTGAGTGTGGAGCCCGATGTGCTTAATCCCAGGACCCTGAGATCAGGACCTGAGCTGAAGGCAGATGCTTAACCAACTGAGCCACCCAGATACCCTGGAAAATATGTTTATAGAGGATATTAATGAGGCAGATAGGGGCACCTGAGTGGCTCAGTTGGTTGGGCCTCTGCGTTCGGCTCAGGTCATGATCCCTCGGGGTCCTGGGATTGAGCCCCTCATCAGGCTCCCTACTCAGCAGGGAGTCTGCTTCTCCCTCCCGCTGTTCTTGTGCTTCTGCTCACTCTCTCTCTCTCTGTCTCCCTCTCAAAGAAATAAAATCTTAAAAAAAAAAAAATGAGGCAGATATACCTAAGGGAAGAGTCTTAGAATCTTTAAGATAAACATAGTGTCAAAATTTGCTTTTTTTGTGCTTGAGAGATTAGTAAAACCTTTTTTAATATTTTAACGTTTTATTAAATTTGCTCTAGGTCACTTGTGGTATGATTTTAGACTTGATTTTTTGTCTCTGTTTTCCATTCAAAATATTTTCATGTATTAAGTGGTATTTTAATTCACTCTGAATCCAAATAGAACTTTTAATAAAATACCTATAAATTACCTACTCATAGGTAATTTAATTTAGTTTTTTATTTAACTGACTTTTAGGATGCCAGTTAGAAAAACTGAATTTCTTTCTTTCATTTCAGGTTACAGCTGGACAATGGTGAAAGAAATGGAATATATATGTAAGGAGCTGAAGCAGCCTGTAACATTTCCTGTCAGAGCAGCATTAGTCAGGCAGTCCTATTCTCAGTTACTTTGGCTGTTAAAGAAATCAAACAGGTACGTATAAGTTTAACAAAATATCATGTGCCTGTGAGTATATGTGAGAAAGAGACAGAGGATGAAAACTGATTATGTAAAGACAGTGTGTGGGGGCCCTGGGGTGGCTGAGTCGGTGAAGCGGCTGCCTTCGGCTCAGGTCATGATCCCAGGGTCCTGGGATTGAGCCTCACTCGGGCTCCCTGCTCAGGGGGAAGCCTGCTTCTCCCTCTCCCACTCCCCCGCTTGTGTCCTCTCTCTTGCTGTGTCTCTCTCTGAAAAAATAAATAAAATCTTAAAAAAAAAAACTTTCCTCCAAAATAAATTCCAGATGAATTAAAGACTTGAAAATCAAACATTAAATACATAAAGAAAAAATATGGTATTTTATATAGTTTCAGAATGGAGAAGACCTTTCTTAGTAAGGCACAAATCAAGAAGCTTTTGTCACCGCAACATTACCAAAGAACTCTAATATTAAAAAAAAAATTAGTTTTACTTGAGCTCAAATTAAGATAGCTACCTGGGAAATGCCGGGTAGAAAGTGTTCTAGAGAATGAATGAGTTTACAGGGTTATATACTTTTTTACATCTTGTAAAAGCTCCAAGGATTATAGATTAGCATATAGGCAGGCATCAAGGAATGCGGGGAGCAGGAGCATTGATCAATATCTCAAGGACAAGACGGTTTTCCTTTAGGCTACTCATTCACAAACCAGGTGTACAACGCATGTATGGCAGGCCATACATCAGGCTTTTGGCTTGAAAAAAGTTTATATACAGTACTGCTGACTTAGAAGGAAATCTAAAATAGCTTCCCTTGTATATCAGGACTTTAGAGAATTTTTCTCTCACCACTATAAAAGGAAAGTTTCAGGGGCACCTGGGCGGCTCAGTCTGTTAAGCAGCTGACTCTTGATTTTGGCTCAAGTCATGATGTCAGAGTTGTGGGATTGAGGCCTGGCTCAGGCTCTGTGCTGCTGTGTGTGGTGCCTGCTTAGGATTTTCTCTCTCCCTTTCCCTCTGCCAAACCCCCTCTGTCCTCCCCTCATGCTTGCATACTCATAAACGCTCTTTCCTTTAAAAAAAAAAAAAAGGGAAGTTTGATATATTTGAACACATAAAAATGTAAAGATTCTAGGGGCGCCTGGGTGGCTCATTCGGTTAAGCATCTGCCTTTAGCTCAGGTCTAGATCTCAGGGTCCTGGGATAGAGCCCTGCATCTGGCTCCCTGCTCAGCGGAGAGTCTGCTTCTCCCTCAGTCCCTCCCCCTGCTCATGCTCTCTCTCTCTCTCTCTCTCAAATAAATAAATAAAATCATTTTTTTAAAAAAGTAAAGATTCTCATAAAACTGTTGATACATATGTCACACAGATATAAAGAATTCTAATAAAGAATTTTCCCAAATCATCCAGGGAAAAACTCAGTTTAGTAATTCACTCTGTTGGAAAGAGTAAGAGAAGCAGTTATGTGTATATTAAAGAAGTATTCACATTCCTGTGGATATTGAATTTTTACTAAATACCATTTCAGTTTCTGTGAAAATAATATTTTTTCAATATCTATCAATAAAATAAATTATGTTAATATTTCATAATATTGAGTTATCTTCACATTTCCAGAATAAATCCCACTTGATCATGAAATATATCATTCTTTTAATCTACTGCCAAATTTCATTGCCAAATTTTAGTTAGGATTTTTGCATTTGGAAGTGAGATTGGTCTGTAGTGTTTTTTCTTTCTTTTTTAGGTATAAATGTTATGTACATTTCATTAAAAAAGCTAGGGACCATTCTTTTTATGTGTTCTGGGATATTACAAAAAATAACATTGAGATGGCTTGCACCTGAGTTTTGGTAAACTATCTAAACCTGATACTTTGTAGAAAGCTTAATTAGACAGCCTTTTTATCTTATGGTAAATGGTCTATATTGATTTTCTATCTTTGGGGGAACTAATTTTGATATATTTTTCCTAGAAAAGTGTTCATTTCACCCAGGTTTTTGAAAGTTTATTTATACACAGAAGCTATTAAAATAGTTTCTCATTCTTTTAATTTCTTCTGTTGGAGAGGAAGTATTTCTCTTCCCTTCAAGGTCCTGGACTAAATAAATATGACACAGATTAACAGGAGAAAATCAAATTTAATAGCATATGCACAGGGACTCCACGCAGACGTGGAAATTCCAGAGACTGTGAGGCAACATGAGACTTCAAGGAACTGAGTAGGAAGGTTGGGTCTGAGGATTCAAAGGGGAGAAAGACCATTAGCAGGAAGGTGAGAGATGTTTGGAAAACAACTGTTGCTCTATTAATGTGGTAAATTTCTTAGGTTAAGAGCAATCTCTGTTAATAGCTCTCTTCCTGGTACATGCTGGCTGTTGTGGGGGAGGTAAAGAGATTTTCCTGTATCTGCTGGGATTTTCTTTGTTTTTAACTCAAAATAATGTTTGTGCCAAAATGGCCCATGTTGTGATGGCCTGCTCTTGGCCCCTACACTTCTATGTCTTTATTTCCTTATTTTATTTATTTGAGCTTTCCCTCTTGTTTCTTGATTAAACTAGATAATGGATTTATCTCTTTCTCTTTTTTTAGGAATCAGCTCTTAGATTTGTTCATGTTTTTGATAAATGATTCATGAATTTCTCTTTTATCTTTTTAAATTATGTTTTATGTAGCTTCTTATAATTTCTTGAGTTGGATGCTTTACTTACTTTCATTTTTATATTAACATTTTATATTTATATATAAATATTAACATATTTATATTTATTATTATATTATAATATATAATATATAATATATTATATATATTATATAATAAATATTAACATATTTATATTTATTAATACAAGTATTTAAGACTTTTCTTTTTTCTCTGGCCACTGCTTTATCAGTGTCCCATTGTTTCTTTTGTGTAGATTTTCATTATTATAAATTTGTAAGTATTATAAAATTGTGAGTTTTTCCTCAAAAGTTGTTTTAAGATAAATTTTTTAGGCATCTAGGTAGTTGAATTATTTGTTTTGGGTTTATTAATAGTTTCTAGGTTTATTGTATCGTAATCAGATAACATCTTATTTTACTTTGTAGATTTTATTAAGGGCTTAATATATAGATATTTTGTATGAGTTTATCTATTGTATGAGGATATAATTTGGCTGTTAGAGTAGAAACCTAAATTACAATAGCTTTAACAAGTCTAGTTCTCTCTCACATAGCTGACAAATAAATCAGGGCTGATTTTGTGCTTCCACATGTCAAGGACCCAGAATGCTTCTATCTTGATTCTCTGCTTTCCTTAGGATATTTCCTTCGTCCATATGGTCAGATTGATTACTGCCCAGTCTGAGTTTCAGGTGGTGGTGATGAGGGAGCAGAAGGCAAGCTGAGGACAAAGCACAAGCTGACACCCACAAACCCCCTTCCTCTTCCCCCCCCCCAGGTGGGAAATGTGTGTGACAATCCTCAGGCACTCCTGGCTGCCCTAAAGCTAAAGGAAGGAAAAACAAATGGTTAACTTATAGAGATTATAGTCCTCCAAGACAAGAGTCTCCCTCAGTTTAAAATGTCTTAGTGATGTACAAGGAAAAAAAAAGCATTCTTATCAATAATCTAACTTCCAGAAGGAAATGTAGATGAAATTAAATTTAATTTTATCTTCATTTATAATCTGCAGCCCATTCACAAATACTTGAGGCAGGCAGAGTATAATGTTCCTCCAGGAAGCTCCCAACTGTCTTAATGTTAATGCCTTAGTAGAGGGAAAAACAGCCTTAACTTGACAATGGCAAAGCCTCCAGTATCTTAGAGGTCCTCTTTAGCATTTGAAAATTCTTTTGAAAACCTCCCTTTTCCTTACCTCCCCCCAACTCCCAAGTATATAATCAGCCACCCCTTACAACCCTGGTGCAGCAGCTCTTTCTGCCCACGGGTCCCTGTTCTTTAATAAAACCACCATGTTGCACCAAAGGACATCTCAAGAATTCTTTCTTGGTTGTCGACTATGGACCTCACCCCACCAACCTCACCTATATTCAAATACTCCATCAGTAGTAAGGAAGGAAAAAAGAGAAGCTCATGGCAGGCCTCTTTCTTTCCAGGGCATGACTTAGAAGTTTCACACCTTCTCATCCTCTTACAACTCATTTGCTGTAATTTAGTCATCTGCCTATACCTAGATGCTGGTGAAGCTGGGAAATGTTGCTGTTATTCTGTAAATCTTGTGTCTAGTTAAAATTCAGGTATTTGTTGTGTAAGAAAGGAAAATTAATATTGGAGTAAAACTACTAATTTATGTAACACATTAATGTACACTATTAGTTATGTAATTTAACTCTTTTATGCCTTAATTTTTGCTTGCTTTAAAAAATACTTTTAATGTAATTCATTCATTCGTTTAATGTATAACTAATACATTCACCTGGTTCAAAAACCAAAGAACAGAGAGTTATACTGTGAAAACCCTCTTTCCCATCTAGCCAGTCCTGCCCAATCTCACTAACCACAGTTGTTAGTTTCTTAGATAGCCACAGTTAGTAGTTTCATTATTCAGGTAAGAGTGAATACAAATACAGATTCTTATTTTCCCCTCTATTTAAAGCAAAGGTAGCATATACCTTGCTTCTGTTCTGTTCTTTGCTTTTTTCTCCCCTTTTACTTAGCAGTACATCTTGGGACTCTTTCCAAGGTAAGCTTCCTTTCTAGGTGCATCATATTTATGTATGTACTATAATATGGTATTTAATGAGCTTCCTGTTGGTAAACATGAAGAATGTTTCCAATATTTGATATTGCACAGGATGGTATAATAAATAAACTTAATGTGTGCCATTACATCAGCTTTTAATTTTTTGGCCATTTGCTCTCTTATGGACTAAGAGAGTTCAAGTTTCCAGCTGTTAAAATATTTTTGTTTCCTCTTCTACCTTCATAGTTTTTGCTTTTTAAAATGTTCATATATTATTTGGTGCATATTCATATATCTTTTATCTTAATGAAGAATTAATTAGAAGTTTA